CTATTGATTGTAGTCACTGACTCAGACAATAGCGAGCCAATCACCATTGCAGCAGTTTTCCCAGTGGAATTCAAATCTTGTCCCAAGGATTATGAAGCATTCTTGTCTTTTAGTTTCACAGGACAGTAAACAATAGACCTTATTCGTGGTGTGACAATGTTTTCCCAATTCAGCGTAACAAACCTCTGGGGGAATGAAGAAATATTGTTTTGAAATTTGTCGGGATATCATCGTTATTCCTTTCGTATCCTTTGGGATAGTGATGACTTTATTGAAGAGTAAAAACAAAAGTAAATAAATCACCTGGAGGTTTGTCACGCTGAATTGGGAAAATATTGTCACACCACGAATAAAGTCTATTGAAGCAATTTATCATCAATCTTCTGCAATCAGAGTTATAAATTGTGAGATATTCTAGCTAAATTGTTGAGCTCGTGGGACATAGCAACGGTAAAAAAATATTTTATTCGCACTAAGAAGTCTAAAAACCAGACTTGAAATTCCTTCTATTCACTTGAATTTATTCCTTCTATTCACAGTGGAATATGGGAAGGGGATGAATGCATGTAAAGGCTTTTGGGATGCAGTTGATTCACTGCGAACTCACTAAATCTTTCCCATCAACCACAGCGCAGTAACAGTGAGAGTGATAGAAGTGACTGGGTACGATTCTTAGCCTTAAAATGTGCCACACCCTAATGTTTACTAAACACGGGGATGGGCAAAAATTTTTATCAGAAAAATGGGGAGATGCACAATTTTTGGAAGAAGCTAATAGCCTTGCTTAGGGGGGATCGTATTTTTTTGTATAACGTTAAGGGGGGGAGTGTTAAGAATTATTCTGGACATTTCAAATTTTCACCTGCCCCCATTCCTCCCCCCCTCTCGGTCATACATTAAAGACGCAGCCTAAGGTATCAGGAATACTGGTATCACCAGATACTGCTGGTATACTACATATTATATCATCAACATATTTTATCATTAAAGTATTGGTAGAAACCAGTCTAATATTATTAACCATGATGGTAAAGAGTGCCGGTCCAATCACTGTACCTTGTGGCACTCCGCAGTTAATGGGTACCAAGGGAGTACATAAATTATCTGTGCATACTCTTTGACTACGGTCTTTCAAAAAATCAATTACCCAGTTAATTATACAGTGAAACCCCTCTATACCGGACCCTCAGTATACCGGAAAGCAGCAGTAAGGGGGACTCGCGGTCACCCCTCGGAATTACACGGATATTCCCCGTGCTCACGTAACAGCGTCCGAGTCGGGTATTACCCGCGCGCNTTTAAAAAATTTTAAGATTTTAATCTGTACACCTCTCAAACACGTACCGAGAAATTTCAGTTTAAGAATTTCACCAATACCAGAACTGAGTGTCATGTCTTTAGCAAGAATTTTTATTTATGCTGCCATCAACTTTCATTGCAGAAAAGAAATGCGAAAGAAAGGGGAAAATAATAGGTAGCTTGGTGTGTGAAGGGCTGTCGCCACCATGTTTGAATGGCTATAAGGCGGCAAATTCTCATTTCAATGCTTTTTAAGTTACCAAAAAAAAAAATTTTCAAAACAGTGAGTGCAAATTTTTTGCATCATTCAGTTTGCTCCATATTAAGATTGTTAAGATTGCACTGAAACTTTCTAAAATTATGTGTAATTAATTTGTATAAATTATAAAATTAAAAAACAAATTTAAATGGGATTTTTGCTTGAAAATATCACAAAATCTAAAAATTTAAATCCTTAATACAACTCCTGAGGTCAAAAAGATTTTAAGTCCTTCAAAATTTATTCTTAGGGTAAGGCACATTTTACTTTTTTGCTCTTACAATAATATTGTATTTGTTGTCATTTGTTCTAATGAGCCTGTTGCGTTATGCAAATATAAACGGTCTAAAAAATTCACATATTGGCAGCGATACAAGTGGAACAAGCATCSATGAACTGTATGCTAAATAGAATTAGCTGATTGTACCCCTTTCTTTGGCAACTTACAAAATTTTTACATTCTCCCTAATTGAATGAGTCAAGTCAATAAAACAGATGAAGTTGGGTGAACAGGGATGTGGGTGCATGCCTTGCRTATTCCTCACACAAAATAAGCATTAATATAAAGCAGCTTAAAGATAAAGCAAAAATCTCTGCGAACAAACCTATAGATCATCAAAGAAATTGAAATACAGATATATGTATTACAACAAAAATTCTTATATTAAAAATAAATAAATAAGCTTGCCATCGGCTTCCATGAAGGAAGGGGGTACTTAGATATGAACTTGGTAAGGATCAGGGTGAATTTCCAAATAACTCCCAAGTATACAGGACAAAATCATTTGGTATGCCCATTTGTTCATGTCAAAAATTGCTTTTATATTCACAATTTGTTTTGCTCTTCTAAGTCTACAGAAAGCAATATCTCTTGTTCAAAACACCCTATGAAAAAGTCGTCTATAATGTTTATGTTGAGTTTGAAGGTCATTATTACTAATCTACCACCCCTGTGCACTAGGGCAAGTATTTTTCTAGCTAACTCCCTACTTTCTCCCACACACACATATTATATATATATATATATAGCCATTTGCAAAAACTATGGCCGTTTCAAATATAAATACGAGTATATCGAAAGTATATCAGTCAGGGCTGGACATCTTTCTCAATGTTTTTTTCAGAAAGCCCTAGTGATAGACAACTTGACAAAAATATCAGGGAGGCTATCCCATAATTTTTGATATGCTTTTGATATACTTGTATTTATATTGGAAGCGGCCATAATTTTTGCAAATGGCTTTATGTATATATATGTAAATAAAAAGAGAAAACAGGCAAATTCTAACTGTTCCTAAAAACATGTATGTTTCGGCCATTCGCCCTTCTTCAAGAAAGTCAAGAAAAGTAATAAAGATATGCACAAGATAAAAAGTAAAAATGTAATTATATATATGAATCAATAATATTATAGAACTAGTCTTCAAAGTACCTCGTTTTCGCTGCCACTACTAGAGTACTCATCTAAACTACTTGAATCAGGTTCAGAATGCTGTAAACAAAGAATAGCAATTAGTTAAGGGTTTGACAAAAATACAGAAATGCTTTGCACAGACACTTACCCCACTCTCGCCATTTTGGTGTTCAGATTCATCCGAAGCATAGTCCTAAATATTGAACAGAATAAATACAAACTCCAGATCAGTAAAGCTCATCTCCAAACTATGACTGATTTAATATACAGCGTATATGCTAGTTGTTAGACTGAAAATAAGAGCAGTGTTTTCTTTGCTTTACGTGTCACCGGCCTATCGTTTAAAATGAATATATTACTGTTAAGGTAAGATTTTTAACGTCAAGATTTGAACTGTAAATTATGTTGAACGGAGTTTACCGTCTWATACGTGAATTGACTTTAACTATTATTATTCTGTGAGTTTTCCGTTGTCCTACATCACTCTCTCGCTTCTCATTGGCATAACACTTACAATTCTTTCGTTTGAAGCCATTTTCCTGGGTATCTTACAGATCGAAAACGTGAAAACGCCGTTGTAAACTACCAAGCTGACAGAAAACTGACAAGACTCTACCRATCAGTTATAGCTAGACTGAGCGTCCGCTCCACTTGCGTGCTTTGTAGGAGAGTGACGTCACGCGTAGGATTCGTAGGATTCCTACGGCCCAYATATGGAAGTCGGAGAAAAGAAGTAATTTTTTTTTGGTTTCGAGTTGTGTCCGGGAATAACGTATTACATAAAGTATTAAAGTAAATAACCATCATGACGATAATATCCCATTAGATCTGCTGCTGTAATGTCGCCAAGTGCACACAAGATAGCGTATTCTAAATTGTCGAAGACAATTTGTTCATAGTTGTATTTCAAAAGATATTTCAGTTAAGAAAATACCTCCTCAACCGGGTTTAGGTCAGGGGAATAAACTGGCAAAAACAAAAGTTCCATTCGAGCCGTTCCAACAACGCTCTATATCTTTTAGTGTGGGTCTACCACGAAAACAGTGTGCTTTTGTATGTGTTTTGGGCGTGTTAGACTCCATATTACTCATTACTTGAAATAGCGACGAGTCCTTTGCCATATCCGCCATTGCCCAAGCATGCGCATAGACTTTAGTTTCGCGCATTCGCTTTAGTGCTTCGAGGGCGATTTGTGACTGAAGAAAAATAACGAAACCCTTTGGAAGCCTGAGTAAAAATGTTTTACTTTTAAAAATTTATTCACTATAAACTACAAAAAGGCAAGCGATATGTATATGTCAACGTCGTTATGAACTCGTTAGAGCAGACGGCGTTTGATGCAGATAAAATCGAGAAAACCAAACAAAAAAATGCGTTATTGATTGGTCCCTCTTAGGGGCGAAATTTCATCACTGCTACACCCATCATCCCAAAATACAGGTCCCTTTAAGGGATCATTTTCGGAATTTCCGACTAGGACCCCCACCCCCTTGTATAAGGGAGTCCCCCCAGTACTTCCCACTGGCAGCGGAAAGTCTTTGATATTTCAAGTTGTTTCTGGTGTTGTCAAATATTAAAGCCATAAAGGTTTTTCTTATGCAGAAAATCCAATCATTTTGGTAGTCTGCCCTCTGAATGCCCTGAGAGAATCCAGGAGAAAACCAAGGAGTTTCAGCCTGTTGCCTTACTGATAAACAAGTCAAAGAAGATGCAGTATGTATATAAAAAATATTTACATTGAAACTTACTGAAAACCTTAGTAGCACTCTATTCCAAATCCCCTACTGTCAATCATTGCAAGAAAAAACGCTGAATTATTCTCAAGTGTAATAAATACTTATTAAATAACTGTCTGCTAAGTGTTTTCCAAAAAAATACTCAAAATAACCTTTTTGGTATATCAATACACAGATGTGTGATAGAACTAAGACATTTCACTTACTATTTCGGTTCCTTTCTAACACGTGGGGGTAAAGGGAGTTCAAAAAGGAAAGCTGAATTTCGTCGTCTTTTTCAGACTTGGTGAGATACGTTCTCTCCTTCCGATGGGAACACCTGTGTTAGCCCTCACTGCTACAGCAAAAAAAAAAAGAGTCAGAAAGGAAACTATAGAAGGAATCGCATTGACATCAGATTTACACCAGATTGTCGTAAGTCCAGACCGACCAAATATTTATCTATATAATGCTAAGGTCAATAAAAACTTGAAGTGATTCGAATGGCTGATCTAAAGAAGGACAACCTGCACACCCCAAAGACTATTGTGTATTGTAAAATAACAAAAACAATGGGGGCAACTGCATAGACATTTCAAAATTGAACTTGGACCGAATGCCTATTATCCTCACTAAGAAAACACAAAGAAAGTGTTGCACATGCTCATTTTGAATCAAGTGCAAACTGCAGTCATCTTTGCCACTACGGCATGGCGATCAACGTTCAAGATATACGTCATATGTTCCTTCCCATGAAATGGACGACTTTGTCCAAGAAATTGGTAGAGCCGGTCGCCTACCAATTTCCTTTTTTTATGTACTGGTAGGCATTTAAGAAAGTGCAGTTCATCAATCAAAGATTATGTCAACAGCAGTAACTGTTGAATTTTTGTTGAAGATTTTGGAGAAAGTGTTATTGGAGACAGAACTCATAAAAGTTGTGCAATTTATCATGCAGAATGTAATTGTGCTAAGGCAGGATGTGCAGTTAAGCAGCTATCATTTTCGAGCAGCTCTCCTTAGCAGATACGAAAAAAAGAAAGAAAAGCCACAAAAAAAGAAATTAAAGATTTATTAACCGACTATCAGAAGGACTCACAGATGAGTATCCCAGGCTACTCTCTCTCCTCTCAATCCACTACCGGTTTCTCAAATGCCCTCATTAAATCTGTATTAAAGAACCTTAAGAACATATTCCGTCTCAACGACATATTAGAACTCACTCCAGTTTACAATAAGTCACATTCTGTTGACATTTTATTTATGATATATGTAATGATTTTCACATAAACACTGTACAAAATTTAGTTGAGGAAGAGCTGATATTGACTAGGATATTGACTATGAATATGGAGGACACTATGAAGATAATGATGATAACAGTGGCACTGACACTGATTCTCCAGTGGATTCATTGGCTTCAAACATGTAAGGGCTAATAGAGCTTTAGGTACAATAACATAATAACACTGTGAATCCAAATAACATGGGCTACCGATTATTTTTAAAGACGTAAGAATTATCTAGGAGCCCACAGTTTCTTTTGATTTGTTTTATTATTATTGTAACTAGTTATAGGGAGAGGTAATCGCCTACAGGAGTGACAAGATGTTGGCATTAAAATTCAGGGACAAAAAACATGTGAAAATGCTGACAGCAATACATGATATATCTTTGGTGAACAGGAGACGACGCAACGAAGACCAGACAAAGCCAATGTGTATCTCAGACTACAACAAGTACATGGGTGGGGTGAGTAGATCAGTTATTAAAGTCATATGAGATCACAAGAAAATCCATGAATTGGTACAAGAAACTTTCCCTTCACTGTCTGAACCTAGCTGTCCTAAATAGTTTCATTGTATACGACAAAGATAGAGGTAAAAAGTCATTTCTCCAGTTTCAACATGTGGTTATCAGCATGCTTGTCTTTGATAGAGGAGAGGCCGGCTTTGATGTTCTCAAAGAGGAGAATGTCATCAGGGTCACAGAAAGGCATTTTGTGCTACAAATTACACCAACTGAAGCAAAAGTTAAAGCCAAAAAAGCGATGCAGAGTGTGCTACAAAAAAGGAAAGCGAAAGGAAAGTAGCTATAATTGTGCTTCATGCACCGCAAACCAGGTTTATGTTATTTCCCATGTTTTGAACTATACCATACTAAATTCAAATACTGGTTAATTTGATAACTTTAGGTAAGTATGTTATTGTAAGGTTTTCATCATGCATTCCATGTAAATACCAGACCTTTTGCACTGGTGTATATCAGTTTCATTGATTTTTGGTTTTTATTATTTATTTTATTTGACATATTTGATATTATACATATATTATACAGAGATGAATTTTACAGGAGTATAAAATGCATGCATGTCTAGATTATTTTTCACTACCTCAGCGAAATTTCATATTCTATCCACGAAAGTCGGAAAAAAGCCTTTTCCAACGATAATGACGTCGTCCTGGTATCAAATTACAATAAATGCACTTTATATAGCTTTTTTGTAGAATTAATTTATTTCTCTGTGGTTTGGTAATTAATCCTGAGTGCCCTAGGATTGGTTGTACACCAGACAGAAAGGTTTATGACATCGAAGAAGTATAAATTGAAGGATGTCCTCATGGGTTGTTGGAAGTCAAAGTTGTAAAGGATTAAGGGTTAAGTTAGTTTTGGCAATGCCACTTATCTTAAGAATGATCCCCAAACTAATATTTTAGCTCTAGACAAGAAGCACATATATTATTATCAATTACAATGCCAGCTAGGCATTACTGGGATTGATTGGTGTGATTTTGTTTAGCTATATAGATTATGAAAAGTTCTTTTGTCAAAGAATAAGATATGATCCTGTTTTCTTTCAGGAATCTAAGGACAAAGTTGACAATTTTATTTCAGTTACTTCTTGTGATATACATAACCATCATATGTAATCGTGTTCATGTAGCTTGAATACAATGAATATATATGCTAAGACTATTATAAGTTAGTTTCTTTTAATCAGAGGCCTTCTGTCCATATCTAATTGACAGTACATGATAAAATTAAAGGTCATGCTGAGTGAAATATAATAGAAAGCTTTGATGTACGCTAAGGTTGGCAATGGCATTGACCTCTTCTGGAGAAAACTGCTTATTACTACAAAGATATGGTGGGACATTCAACCCTTCACTCTTACACTGTAACAAGTGGCTATATTGAAGCCCTTGTCTGCCACGACATTTTCATAGGCTTCTAAAAGGTCTAAAATACCAAAACACTTAATTTTTTCCCTATCAGAGATGGACCCAGTATATAAAGATGAAACAAAGCAAACTGCACCATGTGGTGTTATGCCTATAAGCCTCTTTAAAGTGTTACAGCTTTTATAACTACTATAAGTTTGGTTTTGTAGTAACAGGGATGATGGTACCTGAACTTTTATCTCAGTACCTTTTTTCTGCCATCTTTGTTTACATTCGTCACATACCTAAAATCCTATAAAATGCCGGCCACAATGACGGATTTGATCACGTGACCTCTTCCAAAACTGAAAGATTTAGACAAGGAGAGAGCACAGAAAGAGAAAGCTTTAAAAGAGAAAGACGCCAATTACTAAAACTTGGGAATGCAGCTGACATGACTGTTCGCTTACTGCGATATGTGTTGGAAGAAATGAACCCGACGTACAGCAAGAATGAAAGGAAGGCTGACTTGGTTAAAAAGGAGAAAGAAGCGAGGGCGAGGATTAACACTGAGACTTCTAATTCTGGATTAGCTGAAGATAATGATGGTTACAGATCACACATGGGACAAGAGTTTGAATTCTCTCAAGATTGAAAAATACTTCGCCATTCTCCTTTAAAATATAAAAGTTTAGGAAGAAAGCCATTCTCTGTGTAAGTTTCTAGAGATGAAACATTTTTTCCTAGTACATCTTTTGTAAAGCTTGCAAGTAGCATTCAAATGGTTTGAYTGTCAATCTTTAACCAATCGGAATTCTAGAATCGTCTGTTTACATCGTTATCGACAAATCACGAGGCCAGAAATGTACGTACAAATTAAA